TCAACATGTCCTGAAGTTCCCCGGAGGCCTGGTAATGAACTACTCATGTGATTCGTGTGTGCTGACCCAGGGTGATACCTAAAACCTTCAGGACTCCGGCCCTTGAGGCCTGGAGTTCCCCCACCCTGCTTTAGTGACTCATCTTATAATCTCAGCAGACATTATCTTTCAACTTTTCTTTATTACCTTTCCCTAGCATCCTCATCCTCTGTCACACCAGGCTTCTGTATCTCCTTCAGTAGGTTGTCCCTCCTTTGTGCCTTCCCCCGCCTCCTCCACCTTCAGCCAGTAGCAGTTTCCTCAAACACCCTGCTGGTGATCAGCACTGGGAACAGTTATTGTTAACCCATTTAATTTAGTCATTCTTGACACCACCCTCCCATTTATCCGTGTCTTACACCAGCACTAGGAGTACCCTAGCTTTAGCTTGTGGATGTATGGAAACTTTGGGTTCAAAACCTCTTCCAGGGAGCCGTCATGCGTTTCATAGTTCGAGAGGGAGTCAGACTTGGTGGGAACACGTCTGAATGTCTGAGTACAGCCAGAGCCAGCAGGCGCTCATTGTTAAAGATTTGTGTACTTTAACTGAAAATCAGACGTTCTCCACTGCTTTAATGAACATGGATTTGTGTCCAGAGGTTCCTGTTTGAGTCTTTATGTCTGGAATGAAAGCAGCTATTGAACAGAAGGCTCGCTTCAGCTACTCTGAGTCTATGGCTCAACTTTTGACCTCTGTGTGATCGAGGCTCAGAGAACCCTAGAGCAGCGGTCCCCACGGACCGGTTTAATGTCAGACAATATTTTCATGGACCGGCCTTTAGGGTGTCGTGGATAAATACAACAAAATAAAATGATACGACCAAGACAAAAACTGGTATTTGGCATTTTGTAAATATAAAAATAAACATAAATTCAGAAACATGTGTAATTGTGTAACTTTATTAGCAGCGTCCTCCTGAAATTGCGCCAACAACACTGAGAGTAACATGCTCCTCTCTGCCCCTTAATGCTCTCTGGTCGCTATGGTAACACATCAATATTTCTTTCAAAATAAGACACAACTACAACACGGGAAAAAGACCCAGGGAACCGCTGTGCTAGAGCAGTTAGAGCCTGGTGCTTCTGCAGGGCCTGATGAACTAGCAGAACAACTTTTACTTTGAATTTTACTCTGACCAACAGTGAGATCCCATATCAGGATCCCACGGAGATATCTAAGTTCTGTTTTGTTTTGGGTTGTTTTGCAATCTTTAATTAATGATTGTGATAATTAGCCCCATTTAGAGAACCCAGCAGATGAAATGCTGCTGTTAAAGTGTAAATACAGCTTTAAAGAAAGGGAGTGAAAAGCATCCTGATGTGCTGCTCGTTTTCTGGATTTGCCGCAGGTTTTTGACACAGCTGATCATTTCTATAGTTTCAGTCATTACTCAAGAGAAGTAATGTAACGCATATTAATCCTTACTTTAAAAAATCATGCAAATAATGCTTTACTGAGAATAAGTAATCTGGTAACACTGTTACATTAGTTCTGTGGTGAACTGCAACACTGAGTTACATTATTACCAGTAATCAGCTGTTCTGCTTTTTCATATTGTTTATTTCATATTTGGATGTGAATCGAACAAAAATCTGTCCCGGAGTGAAGAAGTGAGGAAACACTTGATGGGGCGGTGTGCTCTTTCTGGTTGCTCCTGAGCAGACTGACTCTATAACGCTGTCCTGCTTAGAACAGTTTGAAACAGATGAGAGAATAGTGCTGTTGGTGAGCCTGATTGCTCTTAAAGCTGCACTGAAGTTTGTTTGAAATGGAATCTTTAGTTCTTGTGACGGTACATCCATTTCTACAAG